TTCGACCCTTTTCCTGACACTTGCTCATCCTGGAGGAAGAGGAACAGCAGTGCCCCAGAAGTGCTAACCTCTGGATGGAGGCTGTTTCCACAGAGGAGGGTGGAGTCTCAGATCAAGGGGCTTAACAAAATATTCAGAGTGATCCATGTAGTATATGGGCAGGTTGATTCTGCATCCGATGCCGGCCTATAGACAGTGACCTGTACACTGAGTCTGTCTGTATATTTCATTTAGGCCCCTCTAAGGCAGATTTTATTTTTTCTTAATTTTTTTTAAAGATTTATTTATTATGTATACAAAAGAGGGCACCAGATTTCATTACAGATGGTTGTGAGCCACCATGTGGGTGCTGGGAATTGAACTCAGGACCTCTGGAAGAGCAGTCGATGCTCTTAACCTCTGAGCCATCTCTCCAGCCCCAGATTTTATTAATATGACCTGATTTGGAAGAAAAAGAAGGTTCAGTAAGCAAATTACTAATATAGAAATGCTTACATGGAAACAATTATTAAACACTTGGCATATTAACAAGAATGATGCTGTCATAATTTTATCTTATCTGTTTACTAAAACAGGACACTACAGAAACTTGTTAGTTGAAGTTTTACTGTATGTCCTCAGGTCCCCTAACCCTTTCTTTAGTGCTGGGGACCAAACCCAGGGCCTTGGATGCTAGACAAGTGCTGTTCAAAAGCTGTTTCATAGCCCTTCTCACAGGTTTTTGAAATAAAAAGGCAACTTCATTTCTTCCATCTCAAGACTTCTCCTGCAGTATACTGAAGTTAGTCCTGGGCAGTGAAATTTGATGTGAGGGATGGTTACAAGTTTGGTTTTCTCTATTTCATACTGTGACTTTGCATAAGTCATTCAACGGAGCCTCAGTTTTTCTTTTCTTTTTTTGGTTTTTCGAGACAAGGTTTCTCTATATAGCCTTGGCTGTCTGAAGACCAGCTGGCCTTGAACTCTAAGATCTGCCTGCCTCTGCCTCCCAAATGCTGGGGTTAAAGGTGTGTACCACCGCCGGGCGGTGGTGGCGCACGCCTTTAATCCCAGCACTCGGGAGGCAGAGGCAGGCGGATTTCTGTGAGTTCGAGGCCAGCCTGGTCTCCAAAGCGAGTACCAGGAAAGGCGCAAAGCTACACAGAGAAACCCTGTCTCGAAAAACCAAAAAAAAAAAAAAAAAAAAAAAAAAAGGTGTGTACCACCATGCCTGGCTCAGACCCTCAGTTTTTAATCTGTGAAATGGGAATAGTAATAGTCTCTGTCTCAGAGTTTTTTGGCTAACAGCCTGGGCTCCTGAAGCCCCAACAAGCTAGCTTCAGCCATTTGCTCTGCTATGCCTATTAAAGAGATGAATAATGGCTAGGCATGGTGGCACACGCCTTTAATACCAGCACTGGAGAGGCAGAGGCAGGCAGATCTGTGGATCTGAGGCCAGCCTGGTCTAACAGCAAGTTCCAGGCCAGTGAGACCCCATCTAAAAACAAACAAGAGAGGAATAGAGAAAAGATGAGAAAGGAAATTTACTCAACATGGTCATGCTGAGAAAAGGGACTATAAAGTGGTCCGTCCAGTGACCCCTACAGCCATGTTTGTGCATTGAAATGAACCTCTAGTCTGGATGGAGGGGAAGAAGGCTGCATTGGTCCTGGTGAAGGTGTGGTGGTCCAGCATGTCATTCCTCCTTGTTTAGCTCATGTCTGTCCTTCAAGACATGCTGTCCGACTGGATAACATCTCTTCCACCGGTAAGTTCCTCCTCTATCCAGACCAGGGCTTTAGACTTTCCCTTCCTCCACCGTGGGACTCCTGAGAAATCTTAATTCTTTCGAGTCCATTGTTTCAGTAGTTCAATTGCAAAAGGAGCAGCCCTTCTGCTTGTGCATGTGTGTTAGAATGTGTGGGTGCACACTTGCCACTGTGTGCATGTGTGTGTTAGTGTGTGTGGGTGCACACTTGCCACTGTGTGCATGTGTGTGTTAGAATGTGTGTGGTTGCACACTTGCCACTGTGCACAGGTGTATGTAGAGGCCAGAAGTTGATGTCAGGTATCCCAGGTATTGGTGGAGCGGAACTCTAAACTAAATATCTCCTTTCATTAGCTGGCTTTGTAGTTCACACTTTAATCCCAGCACTCAGGAAGACAGAGAGAGATCTCCGAGTTCAAGGCCAACCTGATCTACATGACAAATTCCAGGCCAGCCTGGGCTACATAGTGACATCCTGTCTCAAAACCCCAAAACTCAAGCCAGGTGGGTGGTGGCACACGCCTTTAATCCCAGCACTCAGGAGGCAGAGGCAGGTGAATCTCTGTGAGTTCCAGGCCAGCCTGGGCTACAGAGTGAGTTCCAGGAAAGGCACAAAGCTACATAGAGAAACCCTGTCTCCAAAAAACAAAAAACAAACAAAAAAACCCAACCAACCAACCAAAACTCCTTTTAAGATATGACTCAAAAAAAAAAAAAAAAAAAAAAAAAAAAAAGATAAGACTCAGTGGGTAAACGTGCTTGTCACCAAGCCTGGCAGAGTTTGATCCCCAGAACCCATGTAAAAGCTGGAGGGAGAGATTCTCTGGCCACCACATATGTGCCATGGCATGTACGTGCTCGCACACATGCATCACATACTCACTCACATAATAGTATTGATTTTTAAGGTCACAGCAGTGTGCTGGTACATGCCTTTAATTCTAGAACTTTAATTCAGCAGAGGCAGTTGGAGCACTCTGAGTTCAAGGCCAGCTAGGGTGCCATAGTAAGACCACTTAAAAATTTTTTTAGTTGTATGTGTGTGCACATATGTATATAAATGAGTGTATGCCAGTGGCATTGGATCTCCCAGAGTTGGAGTTTCAGGCAGTCTTCAGCTACCAGACATGGTTGCTGAGATCCAAACTCAAAATCTTGACCACTCTCCAGCAAATAATTTATTTTTAGGTACATGTGTATGTGAGGGGCTACGTGTTTGTCTGTGCACCACATATAAACCTTGTGTCTGCGGAGGTCAGGAGGTACAGGGGCCCCTGGAACTGGAGTTACAGGCAGTTGTGAACCGCCATGTGGGTTTTCTGCAAAAGCAAGTTATCTTAACCAATGAGCCATGTCTCTAGCCCTTTGTCCCCGTTTTTAAAAAGATTAGAATTTGATGATGATCCGTCTTGTCTTATCCAGGCATTTCCTACATGAGGGGAAGAGTATACCACGCATCTCTTGAGGACTCAGGCCAGCATGGGGACATGGAGAGGCAGCACAGAAGTGTGTGAATGACTGAGAGGAGCGTTCTCATGGACACGGGGGATATGTGAAGACCCTGGGGATTTGCTGTGACCTTGAGCCTGTTCATAGAGCAGTGAGTGTCAGGGAGAGAAAAGAGGGACATCAGCTGCTGGACACATGTCCAGTGCTGGAAAGACTCCTCTGGGGAACACACAAAAGCTTGCAGGCACAGAGGCCGAGAGTGATGTACGGAAGGAAGGAAGGCCTGGGAGGGAGGGGGACCCTCCACAGTGCGTCCTGACCTGTCCCCAGTGGGCTTAAAAACAGCTGCTTCTTTGTAGTCAGGGATGCCAGGATGGACCATCAAGAAAGGGTTTCAGATTAGCCAGCCCCCTGGAGGCAGCCAGCTATGGGACGAGAGACCATGACACCACTATTTACTAGCTGTGTATCTTTGGACAAGGAATTTGATGTCTCGGAAGCTGAGTTCCTTCCTCTGTGACAGGTCTGAGACACGTTTGTTTACCTTGTATAGACAGAGTCATACTCATGTCAAGTCAGGTGACTGCCATGAGACCAGAGTGAGCATCACTCCAGCTGTTCCACACTCCTGAGAAAAGTCCTTGACTCTGGCTGGGTGTGGTGGCACTGTTTTTGATCCCAGCACTTGGGAGGCAGAGGCAGGTGAATCTGAGTTGGAGACCACCCCGGTATACATTGAGTCCCACGCCAGCCAAGGCTATATAGTGAGACCCTGTCTTGGACAACAACAAAAAGACTCCTTGATCCCCCAGTCCCTCACAACTGGAGCTGAACCTAGGGCTTCCCACTTGGCAAACAAGTATTTACTACTGAGCTATACTCTAAGTTCTACTCAAACTCTAAGTTCTACTCTTTTTTTTTTTTTTTTTTTTGGTTTTTCGAGACAGGGTTTGTGTGTGTAGTTTTTGGTGCCTGTCCTGGATCTCACTCTGTAGACCAGGCTGGGCCCGAACTCACAGAGATCAGCTTGCCTCTGCCTCCTGAGTGCTAGGATTAAAGATGTGTGCTAGCTACTACTGCCCTTCTGTTTTACTTTTTTGATACAGGGTCCATGTTGCCCTGGCTGGCATGGAACTCACAGCAGTTCACTTGCTTCTGCCTCCTGAGAGCTGGTATTAAGGTGTGCACCAACACACCTATTTCCTGTCTTGAGACAAAGTCTCACTAAGTTGTCTGGGCTAGTCATGAACTCAACTCTGTAGCCCAGACTGGCTTTGAGTGTGCAATCCTTGCCTCAGTCTCCTAACTAGCTGAGGTTACAGGCTTGGTTCTAAAGGAGACCAAGGCTAAGACTAGAAAAATCCTACAACTGAAGTCTTACTTCACATTGCTTGTACGAATATTTGAAACAATCCACCCTGGGGCAGGACCCAGGAGCCTCGTCCACTGTTGCTTCTTCAGTTCTCCACAGCAGCGTTCACACGTGTGCATACGGGCTCACATCAGGCCTAACCTCACTTTGCTGCATCTGGAGCTCAGCAGATGGTGTGTGTGTGTGTGTAAGACTGATGCCCTGTTCTCTCCTCCCCGCTTTCACGACTTCAAAGACACTGCTTCCCTGACCCCATAGTGACAACTCTGGCGTCGGCTTTGGGCTGATTCAAAGCAGCAGACACTGAGCACTGGTCTGGCTGTTTGTCCTCCACATTCTAGCCATCTATCTCTTAGGGTAAGCACGGGCATGCTGGAGACTCAGGGGCTACCAGGAAGAGCTGGCTCAGGCAGTCTGTCCTGTGGTTGGATTCAGAGGGCAGCCTACTGGTTGAACCCCTCCTCTGAGAACTGGGACTTCAGCTATGATCAGAGCAGACATTTTTTAGGAGTTTACAAGGAGATCAGGATGAGGTAGCAATAGGTTGGTGAACAGTTTGAGGACCAGAATTTGTTCCTTTAGTTTTGAGGTGTAAAATACGTCAGTGTCCCATCCTTGACATCTGGCCCAGTGGCTTAGTTAACCAGTGTTGCATCTGCTGGGAAGAGCTTGGGCTCCCTAGAGTCAGCTCTTGCACTGTTGCTCCCTTAGGAGCAACTGTCAACAGATCCAAGACTGAAGGGGCCCCAAGATTCAAGGACTGCTCCAGTCTACTCTGGGGTTTCCAGCTGTTTTTCTTGGCCAGAGGATCACACCCATCGGGATGCAGATAGGGAGCAGGGAGCAGGAAGCAGGAAGCAGAACAGTGAAGTCAGATGAAGTGGAGAGGAGGTAGATCAGATGTTGAGGAGGACATGAAAGTAGCCACCAGCAGCCCAAACACTGGACAGAGAACACCCAGAGGGGCATCTTCTCAAGTGCAGGCTGTGCTGGGCATGGTAAGGTCCTAGCAGGTAATCCTCCTTTCCCCTGGAGACTAACAATCAGAATCCTTATTGTGGACTACCTCCTTCTAGGGCTGGGCTGAAGCCTAGGCACACAGCGGCTAACATCTGGACCCGGGATCATGTCTGCCAACAAGGGCTGGTGGGTGCCACCTGAGGGTGAGGACAACCTGTCTGAGAAGTTTCTAAGGAAGACCAGGGAGTCTCCACTGGTGCCTATAGGTGAGTTGGGGAAGAACAGGGTTGGGGTGGATGCCTCGTCTGTGGGACTTCATGTCTCTCCGTCCCTTTAAAGAACAAGGCAATGGCCAGAAACTCAAGCGGCCCACCCACTGCACAAGGAACAAACTCATAATACAATGAAGGTGTCTGACGGGTGGAGGTGGCAGCTGACTGGATGCAAAGTACACGGGGTGCTAACAGCAGGATGGGGTCTGCATTGGGATCTGGGATTGTCCCAAGGTTTCCCTTCCAGGCTCTAGAATGTGAGAACCTGTACAAAGAGGTATGACCCAGGAGTGAGTGGAGCAGCTCAGGTGGGGGTGTAGTCATGACAACAAACTGCCTGCATATGGAGAAGGGGCATCATGAGGGTCACAGGCACTTCAAAAAGTGCCAGAGAGGAAACTCAATATTCCAAACTCAGATGCACGAAATAACCTGCTGCTGGGTGGTGGTGGTGCACACCTTTGACCCTAGCACTTGGAAGGCAGAGGCAGGAGAATCTCTGTGAGTTCGAGGTCAGCCTGGTCTACAGAGCAAGTTTCAGGACAGCCAGGGCTACAAGGAGAAACCCTGTCTTGAAAAACTTAAACCAAAAAAAAAAAGAAAAAAAGAAAAAAAAAAAAGTCTGCTTAGCTTCCAACCTGCAGGCCCAGAAAGGGGCTAAGGGACCCTGGACTTGGACACAGGCCCAGTGATTCCACTGTCTGCCCACAGGCCTAGGAGGCTGCCTGGTGGTAGCAGCGTACAGGATTTACCGGCTGAAGGCTCGAGGTTCCACCAAGCTGTCCATACATCTGATTCACACCCGAGTGGCAGCACAGGCATGTGCTGTGGGTGCGATCATGCTCGGTAAGCAGCGTGGTGGGGGTCAGAGGGAGAAGAGGGACAGACTGTCCTCAGTCAACTGGTTCAAAGTTCAAGTCCCTGCTGCCCACACTAAAATCCTTGATGAATCCCTATGCTGAGGCCTTTTCAGGGTTCCCCATTGGTCACTGTTGCTGGGCAATGGGACAGTACGAAGACAGCCTGCTTCATGAATTTTCCAGAGGTGAGAACCAGGAAGCAGCAGCAGCTACTTGTGAACTATGACTGTGGGCTACTCCCTTTCACTGGGCCTCAGTTTCCCCATGCATAAGAACCACCTCTGGCTAGTCCACTCAGCAGTGCTTTGTGCAGAACAGACATCAAGTGCCTGGATGTCTGGCAGCTGATGGGGCCTGTGGCACACAGATGAGCAGGGAAGCTGGGTCTCAAGGGTAAAGCTAAGGTAGAGCCACTGAGCTGGAAGGGTGGGAAGGATTTAGTGTACTTCTCTTCCTTCTTCACACAGGTGCCATGTACACAATGTACAGAGATTATATGAAGAGGGTGTCAGAGGATCCTGACAAGTAGAGGACTCCTGAGGTGGCAGGATGGCCCAATTCCCCAGTGGTCTCTGTATGTGCCTAATAAAGCCATGTTGAAGAAAGTGAAGTGTCTTACTCGTGAGTAGAGCAGAGCAGAGCAGAGCAAGAACTGTGGAGGCTGGAGGATGGCCAGTACAATGGGTGGGGACCAAAGGGCCCTGGCCCCAACTCAAGGGGGAGAGACTCAAGGTGCAGCAGTCTCCTAGGAAAACAGACCTCAGTTCCCAGGGTCCCAGCCATTCCTGTACCACCTCATGTCCAGCCAGAAGCAGGCTGGAATGGGAATGGGAAAGTGGGGGCTGGGAAGGGGGCCCCGAGGCTCATGGGAACACTGAATCAGACACAGGCATTCCTTCCACCACAGGCTGCTTCCCTAGGGACCCAGTCAGGAAGGCAGCTGCAGCTGGGAGCAGAGGCAGTGATGCCCATGGGAATCACATACCCAGAATGTAAGTGCTCAGATTAGACAGGCAGAGGCTGGGGTAAGGGTGAACGAAAGCAGCAACCAAGGCAGAGGTCAGAATGTTCTGTTCATTTACAAACCATGGCTAAGGATGGACTTGTAAGAAATAAAAATTCCATGTAAATCCTGAAGACAGGCCCCTGGGGTTAAACACTTTCATCCTGTTCTCGTTCTTCTTCCCTGGGCCCAAGCTCCTCTGTTCCTTGGGAATGGAGCCAGACAGGGGCCATAGAAGGATCCAGGAGGCCAGATGCCCCTTCCTCACTGGGACACTGGCATGGAGGTTTCTGGGTTGTTCAGAGGGGCCCATAGCAGTTCCCAGATGCTCACAGCATGAAGGCCCAATTACACAGGTCTCAGCTTGAGTCCAGAGCCGTAGGCATTGCAGGGAGCAGGAGCGCCAGCCCCGGCACTCACATGGGGTAATTGAGTACAACGTCCTGTTTGGCGAGCTCTAGCAACATAGGATCATCGAAGAACTTGCTGATGCTCACATCTTCACTCAGGCCCTGTGGAGAATGGAGTCAGACACTAGGGTGAGCTCCTCAGGAGGGGTAACTGAGCATAGGGGCATCCAGACCTGTGCTTGACGGGGAGGAAGGCTGGTTAAGACTGTCTGAGAACTTGTGCCTTTAAGGTACTATGACAGCTCCTCTGTTTCCTTTGGGTCCTAGGTCTGCTTACCCGAGGGACTGACCTTTCCAAACAGCAGTACACTACCCTCCAAGAGGAAGAAAGACCACACATAACTCCCATGGAGACCCTGGGGGGTGAGGGATGGCAATGGTTTAAAGAACACATACCTTCCTACGACGGGTTTTGATCATGAACTCCCGGGCCAGGTGAGGAGCTGGCTGGGGCTCCAAGGGACGGATGACAATGCTCTTGTCCAGAGGATCACCAGGCACAATCTAGGACGCAAAGAGATTCAGGTAGTCAAGGCAGCTTCCCGGAGGATTCAGACCCAGAAGCAGAAATCTTCTCCAGGGCTGAGAAAGATGCTAGAAAACATCCAGGACAGAAGAGGAACTGGCAAGGAGGGCAGTCTGCTGACCTGAGAGGCCAAGTTGGCCAGGTTTCCTCACCTGCCAATGGTGGAAGACGGACAGGGAAAAGGCCTGCCCCTGGGTATGAGTGCGGAGATCAGTCTCAAAGCCGAAAGAGTCGATGGCTGGGATGAAAGCTTTGATTGTGTAGAGAGGGGAGCCTGGGATGGGTGCATCCTGAGTCACATGCCCCCTGAGAGAGAAAGACAAAAGCTAAGGCCTTAGTTGTACACAGCCAACAAGGCAAGGGGCAATGGGTCTTCTGGCTCCTCTGTGTATCTTAGCCCAGCACCATCAAAGAAGATGGATAAAACATGCTCTGCAGAGGGGACTGGCTTGGGGCTCTTAGCAGAAGCCACAGGAGCAGCTACCTCTGGAGAGGAGGAAAGGGCAAGGATACTGAAGAGATGGGATCCTATGGACAACCCCATCACTTCTTCATTTTAGAACTCTCCCAGGAGTGGGGGAGGGGAAGAAGAAGAAATCCCAGCCATTGCCTATGGTAAAGCTAGGGCCTGCCTCAGTTCTCTCCTACTTCCTTGTGGAAAACAAGCTCGTGGGCTTCAGGAGTGGAAAGGCGAGGAGAGCAATGGCTGGGGCCACCTCCTCCTTCCCCTCCCTCAGCAGCCAAGGGACTTCTTGCTCTCAAGTACCCTCCCTAACAACAGGCTGCTCACCTGCGCCTGGCCAGGACTGTGTAAACAGCAGACACACAGTCTGCAGGGGCCTGGACCTCTACAAAGTAGTAAGGCTCCATCAGACGAGGAGTGGCCTGCAACAGAGCAAGACAGGGCTCAGTCTGAGGAAGACAGAGTGAGGACATAAAGGGTCTCCGGACCTTCTGGATCCTTCTGTGGCCTCTGCCTGGTCCTCCACTTAATTTTCTGCCCAGTTCCCTACAGCTCCACTCACCATGAGGAAGGCAGAGTAGACTACCCGCCTGGCTGTGGGGATGATCTGGCCTCCACCCCGATGGAGGGGTTCCTGGGCAACCACTGCATCCAGGATCTTAAATTTGACATTCCGAATCACTGAAAGGAGATGGGAGAGCTGGGGCTAGTCACAGGGACATGGCAGAACAGCAGGGTAACTTGCTACACTGAGGCCACAGTGCAGCTGCCCAAAGATATGATACAAATATCACATCACATTGGCAAGGCCAGCAGCAAACAGGTCAGCAGTTGAACACGGACTTAGCATTTGATTCAGGCCGTGCTATGACAATGGAGCTTCCTTACAAGTTTATGTGCTGGTTCTGAACAGCTGTTTCCTGAACATAGACTATGTTCTAGAAATTGTATTTGGTCCCAGGCAGTCTAGCATCACAAACCACTCCAACCTGATTACCCTAGTGTATCTCTTCTCGACACACCAAAGACAGGTTCTACTCAGGAATTAAGAGCAAAATTGCTTTTCCTACTGGGTCCCAAAGATGGGAAGCCCATCCCTAGCTCATCACCTCATTCGGCTAGAGCAAGTGTCCTGGGAATAGAGTCAGGAGGTCGCTGGTGGACTTACGTTCATCGCAGAGCGGCCCCTCCCTAGTTCCCCACTGGAAACCTTGAACAATGCTGTCCTTTACTGAGCCGAGGAGTGCCTTGTCCACCTGCACAGAAATATCAGGCCTCCTTAGCAGTCTGCTGACAACAGACCCCGAGTTCAGAAGGAGGAGAAAAGTATGGCTGTGAGAAGCCACTCTTTGAACAGGGAAGAGGACACTACAGTTTCTTCAATCAAGGACGAACACTTTGCAGGCCTCCCAGCCTTCCACAAGTTTACTCTACCTCTGAGGGCAATGTGTCGTCCACTAGGATGTTTGGTCCTGTAGCATCAGGACCAAAGGCCCAGATGGAACGGGCAGCCAGCAGATCCCAGTCATACTTTGTTTGGAAGAACTCTCCCAGCTTTTTCCTGGAGGAAAGAGGAGAAAGTGGCTCCTGAGGCCATAGATCCTTCCTTTCTGGAAGATAGTAACCCACTCTGCCCATATCACATCCAGAACAGCAAAGAAGGCTGGATGGCGTCAAGGGACCAGGCAAGGAAGTCGTAGTGTGAGTCCTGGAAGTGGCGCCCTGTCTAACCTGTTCCAGGTGATCTGGACCACTTCATTCTCTATGTCCTCAGCCAGGCCCTTCTCAAGAGGCTCAGCAATCATGGTGATCTTGTTCCTGGTCAGAAAGGACAGAAGCAGTGAGAAGGGGTCACAGGATGAGCAGGGCAACAACACAGCCCTCTGAGAGTTCCAGAAATGGGAGACTTAGAGGCAGGGGGCAGCAAAGGGTGCCCTGTCTTCTTTCATTTGTTTTGTGTTTAAATGTGTATGAGAAGTTTTGCTTGCATTTATGCACAGGCACCACATGTGTGCAGTGTTCAAAGGAGCCAGACAGGGTGTTAGATGCCCTGGCCTGGGACTGTGAGCCACCATGTGTGTGCTAGAAAGAACACTTTGGTCCCTCTGCAAGAGCAACAAGTACTTAACCACTAAGCCGTGTCACCAGCCCCTCTGTCTGCTCTTTCTTGAAAAGTAAGGCTGGGGATGGAGAGTGTAGCCTGGCAGGACAGCATGTTTTTAGCATGTATGAGGAGCTAGGCTCCACTTCCAGCACCCACTAAAAAAGAAAAAGCAGCCAGGTGGCGGTGGTGCACGCCTTTAATCCCAGCACTCGGAGGCAGAGGCAGGTGGATCTCTGTGAGTTTGAGGCCAGCCTGGTCTACAGAACGAGATCCAGGACAGGCACCAAAACTACACAGAGAAACTCTGTCTCAAAAAAACAAAACAAAACAAACACCCAAAATACAAACAAACAAGCAAAAACAGTTAAATACATAGGGCAGATTTCCCAAAGCTGCGTGGCACCTAGGAAATTCTCAGGAAGGAATGTCAGAGCAGAAAGGGATGCAGTCTTGAGTAAAGTCGTGTATCTAAGCAGCCCCAACCCATCTCAGAAGTCTCTACTGCTACAAAAGCTGTGGTTGGGGTAGGGTGAAGTGAGTGTGGGAGAGGATGAGATTGTTAGTTCCAAGTACCAGGTACAGCGTTCCCAGTTCCCATCATTTTCTTTCTTCTCCCCAAGACAAGGTCATACATTTAGCCCCAGATGGCTTCGAACTTACTATATAGATGGAGCTGGCCTTGAACTTGCAGCAATTCTCCTAGATTTAAACCACCATGCCTGGTTTTTTTTTTTTTGTTGTTTGTTTTGAGACAGAGCCTCACTATGTAGCTCTGACCCTGGAGTTCTGTATGGAGAGATCTTACCACATCTGTGTAAAGGTGTGTATACCACCATGCCCCTCCCCCCTTTATATAAAGACTCTCACATGGCCCAGGCTGCCCTCAAATCTGTTATATGGTTGAGGCTGGCCTAGAACTCCTGATCCTCCCACTGCTACCTCCCAAGTGATGGGATTTGCAGGCATTTGCCACCACACCTAACCTCTTCCTTTGAGGATTTGTGTGTGTGTGTTTACATGTATGTGTGTGCAGGCTGATGTTGGGTGTCTTCCTTTCCACGTACTCTCCACCTTTTTTTTTTTTTGAGATAAACACAATGAGTT